TGTGGAATGGGGGGGCTTGCATTGTGGAATGGGGGGGCTTGCATTGTGGAATGGGGGGGCTTGCATTGTGGAATGGGGGGGCTTGCATTGTGGAATGGGGGGGCTTGCATTGTGGAATGGGGGGGCTTGCATTGTGGAATGGGGGGGCTTGTGGAATGGGGGGGCTTGTGGAATGGGGGGGCTTGTGGAATGGGGGGGCTTGTGGAATGGGGGGGCTTGTGGAATGGGGGGGGCTTGTGGAATGGGGGGGCTTGTGGAATGGGGGGGGGCTTGTGGAATGGGGGGGGGGCTTGTGGAATGGGGGGGCTTGTGGAATGGGGGGGCTGGCTTGTGGAATGGGGGGGCTTGTGGAATGGGGGGGCTTGTGGGGGCGCTTGTGGGGGCGCTTGTGGGGGCGCTTGTGGGGGCGCTTGTGGGGGCGCTTGTAGGGGCGGCGTGTTTGGGGGCGTTGTGGGGCGCTTGTGGGGGGGGTGTTTGTGGGGGGGCTTGTGGGGGGCTTGTGGGGGGGCTTGTGGGGGGGGCTTCTTGTGGGGGGGGCTTGCTTGTGGGGGGCTTGTTCGGGGGGCTTTTGGTCGGGGGGCTTGTCGGGGGGGCTTGTCGGGGGGGCTTGTGGGGGGGCTTGTGGGGGCGCTTGTGGGGGCGCTTGTGGGGGCGCTTGTGGGGGCGCTTGTGGGGGCGCTTGTGGGGGCGCTTGTGGGGGCGCTTGTGGGGGGGCTTGTGGGGGGGCTTGTGGGGGGGGGGCTTGTGTGGGGGGGGCTTGTGTGGGGGGGGGTTGTGGGGTTGTGGGGGGGGGGGGGGGCTTGTGGTGGGGGGCTTGAGGGGGGGGCTTGGGTGGCTTGTCGGGGGGCTTGTGTGGGGGCTGTGGGGGGTTGTGGGTGGGGCTTGGGGGGGGGCTTGTGGGGGGGAGGGCTTGTGGGGCCGGCTTGTGGGGGCTTGTGGGGGGGTGTGGGGGGGCTTGTGGGGGCCTTGTGGGGGGGCTTTGTGGGGGGGGTTGTTGGGGGGGGTTGTGGGGGGGGGGGTTCGTGGGGGGGGTTGTGGGGGCCTTGTGGGGGCTTGTGGGGGGGCTCTTGTGGGGGGATCTTGTGGGGGGGCTCTTGTGGGGGGCTCTTGTGGGGGGCTCTTGTGGGCACACCGCGCGACAGGCTCTATGTGGGGCTCTTGCAGGGGGCGGCTCTTGTGGGGGGGGGCTCTGGGGGGGGCTCTGGCGTTTGGGGGCTCTTGTGGGGGGCTCTTGTGGGGGGCTCTTGTGGGGGGCTCTTGTGGGGGGCTCTTGTGGGGGGCTCTTGTGGGGGCTCTTGTGGGGGGCTCTTGTGGGGGGCTCTTGTGGGGGGCTCTTGTGGGGGGCTCTTGTGGGGGGCTCTTGTGGGGGGCTCTTGTGGGGGGCTCTTGTGGGGGGCTCTTGTGGGGGGCTCTTGTGGGGGGCTCTTGTGGGGGGCTCTTGTGGAAGGCTTGTGGGGGGGTTGTGGGGGGGTTGTGGGGGGTTTGGGGGGGGGTTTGGGAGGGGGTTGTGGGTTGGGGGAGGGTTGGGGGAGGGTTGGGGGAGGGGTCGGGGGGGTTGGGGGGGGTTGGGGGGGGTTGGGGGGGGTTTGGGGGGGTTGGGGGGGTTGGGGGTTGGGGGGGGTTGGGGGGTTGGGGGTTGGGGGGGCTGGGGGGTTGGGGGGGTTGGGGGGTTGGGGGGGGTGCGGGGGCGAGCTTGACAAACATCTGATCCAAAGCGAAACTTCAAGCATTCGTTGGGACTCCCTCATAGGCACTCAAACCGGTTGGGTTGGGGGGAGGGTTGGGGGGGTTGGGTTGGGGGGGTTGGGTTGGGGGGGGTTGGGGGGGTCGGGGGGGGGTCGGGTTGGGGGGTTGGGGGGTTGGGGGGGGTTGGGGGGGGTTGGGGGGGGTTGGGGGGGGGTTGGGGGGGGTTGGGGGGGGTTGGGGGGGGTTGGGGGGGGTTGGGGGGGGTGCGGGGGCGAGCTTGACAAACATCTGATCCAAAGCGAAACTTCAGTCGAGGTAAGCATTCGTTGGGACTCCCTCAAAGGCACTCAAACCTTGCAGTGAATCTTGCGGGTGCTCGGCAGGGAATGAGGGAATGACCCTTCATAAAAGATCCCTTGTGGTTTCCTTTCACGGGACCCCTGGATTCATTCCTACATTCCCTACTCCTACTGAGCACCAGCAGTTAGTCTGAGCTGAGGCAATCACACCTCCGGAGGGACAACAAAGCAATGGCTTTGTGTTCAAGCCGGGCGCTCGGGGGTCAAAATGCCATGCCGTCGACTTGGACCTATCAGTCAACTGGGTGTTGCTGGTTTTTTGGTTTAGTACCCTTTTCCGGGTCGTGTTCAAGGGAACTAGAGGAAACAATCCTTTTGTTTTGGGAGGAGGATCCTCCAATGATTTGAGACATACCAAACCAAGAGGCCTTCTATGCCATGTATAGGATGCAAGCAGGTGCTTTTTGACAGACTCAGCATGCCATGCAGCTAACATCGTCTCAGGCACTTAGACTTGTCAATCGTGTGAGTTGCAAGTTCAGCTACCCCAGAAAGTCCTCCGTGGGGGCAATTCAAACGAGCCATCAGAGTGCCCCGCATGCGTTCTTTGCAAGGCAATGCTGAGGTTGTTTCCAAGAGAGGCTCGAGGGAAATCCGCCTGGACGTTGATCTTTCCATCTTGGGCCAGGGAGGTCTCTGGATCCGGTGGTTTGCTTCAAGCACAGCTGTCAGGGACAGGTCTTGCCAGGGTTTGACCCGCACGCAATCCTGGACAAAATGGACAAGTGCTAGTGTGTCAGGAAGTGGACCCCCTTTCGGATATGAGTCCAAATCCTGGACACCCATGAAGACCACGAGGTGTGTGGGTTTTTGGCCATTCGTACAGGAAACTGAAGGAAAACCACCTATTTGAAGCCCCGTTTGGACACATACCCACTCCAACTTGAGCTGCCATGGCCTGAAAGCGGGCGAGGCTGGACGGGGCCATGGGGGGGTGGGGGGCGGCGATTTGAGCCATCGGGAGCTTCCGTTTTAGACCTCCAATAGCAATTTCTTGGAACCCGCCAGTAAATTGCAACTTTCGGAGGGAATATCCCGTCAACCCTGAATATGGGGGTGTCTCAAAAAGGTGGGCCTTTTGGTAGTTAAAGGGCAACCGAAACCATTTTGGGACTACGAGCGCTATTTTCCCCTGTTCAAAATCCCGCGTCCAAAAGCAGTGGTTGGGGATGCAGGCAAAAAGAGCGGAGCGAGCTATGAGTTTTGCTTGGCAATTCCGCATCATTTGGGGAATTGTTTGTGGGTGTTCCCCGCCACCCGAGCAAGCTCTCCGAAGGAAGCGGAGCTAACGAGGTTCAAGTTTCCCATGTTGGTTTGGGGTACAACGAATTTGTGCGTCAGACGAAAGTGCCTGGATGCGGAAACTTGGCGACAGGAAGCTGAGCCAACAATTCTGCCCCTGTCTACGGGTGGGTGACATGGATGGTAAAATTGCCGCACAAGTTGAGTTTGATTGCAACCTCACATTCGGGGGGGGGGGGGGGGTGGGAAGGGTTGGTGTGCAGGGTTCCTTATGTTAGTCTCTTAATGATTATTAGTTGGCCCAAATGAGCCGGCGCTGGACAGGTGTTTCGAATGTCTTACTTGCGGTACGAGCGCAACTTACTTACTTGGCCTCTACCTGAACTCACTTCCTGAGTTGCCGAACTTTATATGGTGTGTTGCGAAAACCAGTTTAGCAACAAGTGCTGACTTGTTTCGCCAATCCACTCAAGAAGTGAGCTGGTTTAGGGGGTGGATTATACTCTAGTAGATTTGGGTGTGTGTCAAAGCAGGGTAACCCAAAACATTAACTACGAAGTGCCTGCATGACTGCACTTGCAATCCGCAAGCAACGCCGGCGCAGCGTTTCTTGGCTTTTAGTGGTGCCCCATCTCGGCACTTATGTACGTACATACATGTATTATCTGCATATGCGTATCTATATTAATATATAGATCCTTTGTGATGCATGCTGCATATATATATATATACACCCCAGGGTATATATATATATAGAGATACATACTGTGGTTTACACAGCTTGCTTGGTTGCTTTATCTATTTGATAGTACCGTGTGCTCAGAGCCCAGCACGCACATTCGGCAATTTTCGGGGGCCTGAACAAATGGCGGGTGAAACTCAGTCACACTTCGGGGCGCGCAAGAGCGAAACCGCGACGGAGGTGTTTCGGGTCTCAAAACCGGGTTCTTTGAAGGCCCTAAATCAATCGGGAGCCTCTGGAATATAGATATTTGGCTTGACTCATGCAAGTTGCGACTCGGGTCGCCGAGCCGCCGAATGGCAGAGACGGAGCTGCGGCTGTGGATTTGTGGTCTCAGCGGGGAGGACGAGTCACAAGTCACCAGCCCGGTCGAACGCTAACAGGTGTCTCAAGGGTTGGTAAGGTTGAACTCAGACAAAAAACCACTTTTCCCTATGGTTTCCTTCAGCAACCACCCCGAAAGAGGGTTTGGTCACAGGCGATTGTTCCCATTGGTCCCCAATTGCCCCCATTGGTTGCGATTCACAAGTGTCTTGGTCCCTTACCAGGTTTAGAATCCCACAGAGACAACAATGAAATCGCGCATGGACCCCGAGTGCGGTCACTCTCCTGCGAACTATACCTTTTGGGCAACTGGTTGTTCCTCATATCTAGGAGGGGCAGGGAGCCCAAGTATGCCCGAAGTAAGGCCTTACGACGGGCGTAGTTGGGCTGTAGTTGCTCCCCTCCCCTCCAAGACTCCCTCCCCAGCCCCCAAAGTTGGGCGTCCGCCAATTCAAGTCATGGGCTGTAGTTACTTACCCAACAAGCCCCTAATGGGAGGGAGCCCATGAAAAAAGCAATTGAGTTTGGGTGAATCATAGCATCTCACCAACCTGAAATATGGTTGGGGCTAACCACCATTTGGGGTGAATTCGGTTGTGTGAGGTCGTTATAACTCACCCGGATTTGGGCGGCGAGGACGGCTTTCGGCTGTCTGTGCCCAGCTGCGCCTTGGGCCTGGACGTGGCGCAGGCGGTCCAAACGCACCTTGGGCCGAGGCCCGGGGGTGTGCTGCGCCTCGTGCACGGAGGCGCGGCCGACGGCACGGGGAGTGTTGGGTGCGTTGGCCCAGTTGCCCAGTGGTACCTGTTTTCCCTCTTTTTTTTTGGGAAGGGTTCCCCTGAAAACTCAGCCGACAAAAAAAGGGCGCTGCCACCTCGACCAAATCTGGAAAACGTGCTTTTGTCACGACATCTAACAACGAATCCAGAACACCATCCATGCAATTCGGCAATAGCCGGCTAAGCGTGAGTGCCAGATTTGTGTGCTGCACAACCTCTGCCCGCAAATACCTCTGTCAGCGTCCACTCCCAATTACGGTACCTGGGGGGTTAGTTTTCTTATAATGCATAGAACCTGCTAAGTTGGTGAACGGTTAAGTGTCCCCTGGCAATTTTTGTCACATGTCCCTTTTTGGTGCGTTGATACACTACCTTTTCAACCACGCGGTGAGTTGCCCTCAGTGATGTTTAAGGGGAAATTCTGGGAGCTTTGCCGCGCATGCGGGATCCTTTCTGACGGGTTGACTTTCACTCGACCGACTATATATTTCTAGTTATGTATATATATATATATACCTGGACCTTCCTGCTTGCTTAAAACTTCCGGCTTTTCGCTACGAATTGCCTTTTGGGGCAACAGAGTGTAATATTTGCCTCCTGGCGCTGTTTTGTTAGCACAATTTGGGTGTTAAGCACAATCTACCCGAGCCACAGGTGAAAATTCCCGACCAACAGGCAAACATTCCCGACAGCGGCGCAAGCAAATATGAGCGCCGCATATTTTTTTCTCTAAAAGCAGGTGTTTTTTCATGACAACAACGAAAAGCACGTGCTTTTTGGCCAACGCCTAAAATTATTGCCCCCCGGAAGGTCCAGGTATGCATGTCCATGTTGTTGTTTCGTTGGATAGGGCTGAAATTGTGTGTTCTATATTTAGCTCTGCCAAGCCTTACTCCCTGATTATTAGTACTTCATTTAGTATTGCCATGTCCAAACGTTTTTACTGCCAAGCCTTACTTTCAGGTGTCCAGCCTCCCAAAACGGTTGGACACGAAAGCGAAAAACCGAAACAGTCAGACTAAGCAAAACATGGCCGCTTGTGGACAACCCACTTTGCCTGACTGTTTGGCCCTTTTAGCGCTTTAATATAAGCAGTTGCGGTTTGGAGACCGCTTCAAACCAAAAAAACATACTTGCCCGGATTTGTTTGAGTTGTTGCCGGTCTTGTTTTACCCATGCTGTTGCCCGGATGTGTTGCCGGCAAAAATCGATTTATTGTAGTGAACCGTTTCCGAATGAGGAAACAGACCTTGTAGAAAAGCGACCCCAAGTGCAAAAGCTGGTCCGGCTTTACGTGGGGCCAGTGAACAAATATATGCCTTTTCCAACTGATTTGGAGGATTCCCTTGTGAAGCAGGTGAGCCACACTCAAAACCCGGGTAGATCAAGGTTAGTAACGGATAGTTTGATATAGGTACAGCCACCCTGTTAATATGTTAGTTTTGTAGTTTTGCGTCGACCATCTCTCGACCAGGTTTTCATTGTGGCTCATGTGGCTTTTGGATGTATCTGCAGCCCTGCAGGATTCCAACTGGAGCTTGAGAGCAGCTTGTGCCAGCAGGATGTGCAGGACGAGTCCACGATCCAGTGCATCTATGTGCCCACCAAGTTGCTGAGTGCATACGAGACTTTGAATTCGAGGTCTGAAGCTGCTTTGCCTCAAGCGGAATTTTCTGAATGGTGGTTCCCTTTGGGTGTCGCTTTAAACCAAGGTGAGAAGGCAACCTTTTTTGGGCCGAGTGATCCATTTGAAGGGCAATGTGCTTATGGTAATTGACCTTCTCCATTTCGAGAGATTCGAAATCGAATGCCCTTTACTTCTAGGATGTGGATTTGCTGGAGGGCATCATCGAGATTTGCGCAGACTTTGTCCCGAAGAATCTGCACAGCGGCCTGCTGAGTTTAAGTTTGGGCGATAGTGTGCCGGGCTTCGCCGGCTTGGCGCTACCGGAGAAGTTGCAGCACTTGACCCTGGGCCACGCCTTCAATGAGAGCCTGGAAGGAGTCAGACGCTGAGCCGGTTTGGAAGTCCTGCGGCAAGGAACACTTGGGGAACCGTACCTTACCACGGCGTCCAAAAGTGTTCAAACCGCAAGGGCCTTAGGGTGGAGCACTGCGCAGCTCCAATTTTCCAGGGTCTGCGCGTGTTTTCAAAGCTGTTTTGTGAGGGAAGCCTGCAGGAGTCACCCTGCCCTGCGGGCTCCAAAGCCTCACCTTCGGAGACTTGCCAGCAGGGTGCATTTCGTTTTCGGCGGCATGTTCTGCGGTGGCTTGGAAGGGAAGCCAAAGGGAAACACATGTTGACCCTTGTTTAATGTGCTCCCCCTCAGAACAGCGGGAACGGTGGCGGGAAATGGGTGGTCCGGGTGGGACTTGCCAGTACTTAATCTAGTATTGCCAATTCGATATTTAGCGCTGCCAAAACCTAGTTACTCCTCATACTTTGTTTAGTATTGCCGAGTCGACGCTTAGTATTTCCAAGACTTACTCCCAGATTCCCTGTACTTACTTCCGCATTGCCTGGTCTAAATTTAGTATTGCCAAGACTTACTCTCAGATCCCCAGTACTTGGTTCAGTATTGCCAATAGTTACAATCACATTCCCAGGTTTAGCGTTGCCTAGTACTGTAAATTTAGTATTGCCAGATTTTCCCCGCCCCAGAAAAGCTTGACATTAAGGAAGAAAAAAGATCAGTCAGCTTTAACAGAATCAGGCCCTTTAGTGGGCAACCCCTTTGCGCGCCTGTTTGGCCTTGGGTTTATAAAGGAGTTTGTATGAGAATCGATGGTTTGGGGACCACTTCAAAAACAGGAACTCCTTGTTTTCGCCTGGATGTTTGATTGCCCGTGTTTGTTTTCTTCTCAGGATTTGTTGCCCGATTTTTGCTTGCCCGTTTTTGTGTTCCCAGCAAGCAAAACTATTATTGAAGACCGTACATCAGCTGCCGGGTCATGATCAGGACAAACACTTTCTAGAATTGACACCCCATTGGTTAAAGATAATTCCTTTCCTTGGGAGGTCCCAGTTTGCAGACATGACCACATGGCCAGGTCTTTCAGACCTCATGCTCTCCTGCTGTGATTCCAGATCCGTTGGATGCCCAAGTGGTTCTAAGTGTTACTAGCAGAATTCGGGTGTCTCCAAATGAGGAAACCCACAACATGAGTGGTTTTCCTGCTTTAACGACATCTCAAACAAATAGTAAGCCTCAATACCTTAAACAGTACGCAAACAGCCCCCTGACAGCCCCCCCCCCAATTTGGGTGTGTCTTTTTGATGGCATCCTTGTTAGATTAGTGCGGAAAGGGAAGCCAAAAGGAGACCAACCATTTCGGGGCCCTATTGTAAGACAACCCCATTTGGCTGCGGCTCAGAAAAATGGTACCCAAAAAGGCCCGGCAAATGGAACGGTAGACTGAAGCCTGCGTAACCCTAGATATTGATTTTTGAGCCACAGCCATTTCTCTCAGGATATGCCTGGGACAAGGAGTTGCAGAAGGTGACTTTTCCCGAAGGCCTGCAGATCTTGAGCTTCGGCTCCAGCTTCAACCGACGCCTGCAGGGCGTCACTGGGTGAAAAACACGGAGCCGGCGCCCGGCAAACCGTAGGCCCCGGGACCCACAACAAGCAGGCCATGGTGGGCATTGATCTATCGTTCTCCCCTTCAAAGTTCGGAATTCGCTATCTTTGTTGCTCATAATTTCCAACACCTCCAAAATCAAGTTGGAACTGGAGCAGGGGTACGGCTCAAGACACCATGCACCTCATGAAGGTGCAAAAACGACCCTGAAAAAACCGAAAGGGAGGAGACAAAAAGCAACCTGTCCATCCCTCTTTGAGGTGAAGTTTCCTGCAGCCTTGCGCGACCTCAGCTTCGGCCTAAGCTTCGACCAGAACATGGAAGGCGGGGAGGTTGAGATGGAAGACACAGGAGGATACCCCAAGGTGTCAAAAAGGAAGCCACGGGGAACTGGACCAGTCCCTTGTGCTTTTGGCGACTTTTTCTGGCGTTTTAAGGGATTTATGGAAATATCCCCCTAAAAGTCTGGCTTTTAGCAAGGGATTCGCTATCCACTAGGGTTGCTGCAGCTTTTTGCATCTCTTTTTTTTTGGTGGGGGGAGGGGTTTCCCATGAGAACCTCAGGTGTTGCCCTCCCGGACAGCTTGCAGAGCCTTACCTTCGGCTTTCACTTCAACCGCAGCCTGCAGAACCTGGTCTTGCCCTGCCTGCAGGTACCGAGCGAAGTCGAGTGACCCGTGCAACTTCAGTACTTGGACCCAGAATGGGAAATCACCCCCATGTTTAGGCAGATTTGGTAGATGTTGCTTTAAGCTCCAGGTGGCCCTTGTTCCCCTACTTGCAATATCTGGGGCATCCAGCGTAACACTGATTTGTTGCGGGTTTCACTCGCCAGGTGTTGGTCTTCGGGCGCAGCTTTAACCAGCCTTTGGAGAACCTGCCGGTCAGCTTGCAAAGCTTGGCGTTTGGCGAGAAGTTCGACCAGAGCTTGGTATCTGCTCCCCAGCTCTCTTAGTGGCTCAGGGGATCCCAGTTGGGGTCTTCTTGAGCCAAGACTTTTCTATCAGATTCTGAACAGAGGGTCGTCTGTGTAACCCAGATGTGGGCCAATGGTAGTACTACACTTGGGTGAAGGTAGATGACACAAGTCCCCATGTTGGTTTAGTCCCTTTACCGGCATGAAGGGAATTGTGCCATCTACTCTTACTTTGCTGTCCTGCTGTATAGGAGGTAACATGGCAACCAGGGATTGTCCCTGCAATCTAGACATGGTAGTTTCCCTTGAGTACCTATTGCACTGATGAGTGGAAGAACTGAGCTGCTTTTGCTTCATTTTGTTTTGGGGGAGTCGGAGATCTTGGATCCAGAATCCAAATACCGGTATTCAGAATCCCAATACTGGTACTCAGAAATCTAAATACCAGCATTAATAAATCAGGCAGGGTCATGGATCCAAGATCTCCCTCAAAAGTCTCTGAACAATCTTGGATCTTGGATCCAGAATCCAAATACCGGTAATTACTAAGAATCCCAATACTGGTACTCAGAAATCTACATACTGGCATTAAGAAATCGAGGGGGGTCATCGCGTGCCTGAAAACGCGTGTGTGTGTGTGTGTGTGTGTGTGTGTGTGTGTGTGTGTGTGTTTAGAAGTGCCTTCCAAACTAACCTAAAACAACCGACCCCACATCCACGTTTGTTTTTCCCCCGCTGGGCTCGCGCCAAAGCATAGCACGGACGGGGGAGTTCACTATTCACTGCTCCAATCAGCCACGCAACAACAAACAAACAAACAAACAAAAACAAAATAGGCTCCTTTTCCACCTGCTTGTCCTCTTTTTGGGGTGGAGTACACATTTCCCATCAACCACACAAGGGGTGTCCGTGCTTTTTGTCCACTTGTTTTTGTCGGGGCACACCGACAGTCTCATTTTTGCCGCAGCGACCGCTTGGTTCCTTTCATTTTTTTGGCTCGGGTTCCCGCCAACAGTTGGGGTTGTTTTTGCAGTTTTGGGTATCAAAGTCATCTGGCAGTCTGGGTGTGTGTGTGTTTTTCAATCTACCGTGACTTTGACGGTGAAAGGAGGCCAGAAAGGACAAACCCACATATTGAGAGTTAAACCCACTTGGGTTGACCTCAACCCATCTATAAGCCACCCTTTACGGTAACCTTTCCAGACAAAGCCACTTGCAAGGTTGGGCTCCGAAGCTTGCAAAGCCTCAGCCTCGGCAGAAGCTTCAGGCAAGGCTTGCAAGGTGTCGAGCTGAATCGCCTGCAGAAACTCGGTCGAGCCCTTGGGTCGGGCTTTGGCCAGTAGGGGGACCAATAGGGGGACCAAAGCACACATCAGTTATATTTATGCCGAACCACTATGTTGAAAAAAACAACTTTTTCTGTGTGTTGTGTGTGTGTTGTGTGTGTGTGTGCGTCTGTTCTGCCCTTTGTTTTGGGTTGGTTTACAGGGGTGCCAAAAGGAACCCTTATCCATTTCTGGGGGTCCGGACCCTATTTTGACACATATCCATTTACTTTCTTTCTTTTTTTGCGTGGTGTACATAAATAGGGGACCGCTTTTGGTTGGCTTTCAAGAGGAAGCCAAACAACGCCCTGTCTTGCGGCAACTTTGTTTTGGAACTGCCCGGAGGTTCGTTCAACATGGCAGTAGGCGATCGTTGTTTTGGGAACCGCAAGTTTTGATGGTTCACAGGAGGAATTATGTTTAGCAACCATTTGGGAGGTACTCGTACTCCTGGTTAGCAAACCACATAGGCGATGTTATGATATTTGGGGGGGTCCATTTCTTATGTTTGCTCGGCGAAGTCTTATCATTCACCCAGATTGGTTGCATTGAAGTCGATCCTTACTTCAACATCGATGGACCAAAAAGGGGAGTGCAGGAGTTTTGGGACTGAACTGGACGGGGGTCCCCGTCAAGGAAGCCTCCAGCTGGGTCAGTTCGGGGTCTTAGCAATTCATTTCTTGCAATGGCCAAGGAGTCTTACCCTGGCATGCAGCTGGAAGCTGAACCTCACTGGTGTGACGCTGCCCGCGCTGCGGGCTCTTGCTTTCGGGCCCAAGTTCAACGAGTCGCTGGACGCCCTGCCCAGGACTGAGACGACCCCATTCGGAGTTGAGTTCGTGGGCTTGAAACTGGTTGGGCAGCACTTCGCACCACTGCTTTTGAGACAGTGCTGGGATGTTTTGGCAGACAAACGGCAGTGGTTGGGGGGTGCAATCAGGAAGTGAGAGGAAGTCAGCCACACAATGCTGAGGGATCCCAGTTTGGACACTGCATGAATCCAATGGGGTGTGCCTGAAACTGGGGGACCCCCACTTTGTCTATTTTCTTTGATTTCCCTTTGAAAAGATCTGAAAAGGTACCCTCACAAAGTTGGACACCCCCATGCTAGGCATAGGATATTCTGAGGGATTCCTGTCATCAGGGACTGCCCTGTAGAGCGGGCTTGTCAGGGTGATGTTTGTATTTGCTTCTGTTGATGAATAGTGTGTCCTTTGTTAAGAACTTGTCATGGCTGAAGCTGTAATTTAATATTTATTGTTGGTTTCCTCGAAATAGGGGCCCACCTGTTGGATCAGGTTTTTAGAATACTGTCCGTGCCAGCCTACCTTATTGGAAACATACCTTTATGCATGGCAACTGCCCGGATCAGAGTGTGTGGCATTGCGAGAAACCTAGCTGAATAAACTCGGGGACTTGCCGGCCCCCCTTTTGATCAGGGTTCTGCTGTGTCAAGCCTACCTAAGGCTACCATGGCTATGAACTTGAGTGATACCCTCCCTGGTTGGTGGTAATTAATCCTCAAATGATGTCAGAGGGTTCCTAGGTAAAACTCATGCCCATATTCGGAAACATTCCCAAGCAATTCATGAGATATGTCTAGCATTGGGAACCACGTTGGCAAGGTGCCGTTATTTTGAACCCTGCAAATACAACAATAATGTACATGTTCATTAACATTGCCCGACAGTAGGGCTCCCCTCTAAAACCAGCCTTACTGGCAAGACGCGTTGCCCGCTTTGTTGCTCCTGCCGAGCTTAAGGATTCGGCCGCCAGGACCCTGCAACATCTGAGCTTCGGGGACGAGTTCAACCAGAGCTTGCGAGGCGTGACGTTGCCCCCGTTGCGCAGCTTGTCCTTCGGCAGAAACTTCTCGCAGAGCTTATGCGAGCTGCCGGACTTACAAGTCCTTGCTCTAGGACGGGGTGCAAAATTAGCCATTCCTTGAGCACCTTGGGGATCCAAAAGCAGGATGTTGAAGCAGCATATGGGCGCGTTTTTTTGGGGTTTGGGACCCGCCCCCAAATTGGTGCTTGTCTTTATGGTTTCCCTTTAACACCATCATAGGTTTGAACAATATCTTGTTTACATAGGTATCAGGAGCCATCGCCTATAGGAGCCCCTGCTTGTTGGGCAGTTTTTCTTGTGAGTACGTCATTACAACGCTAAAACATCATTAACATAGCGCAGTACCGACAACATGGGCAGCATACACTTACCTGTCACAGAGACGTGGGCTGGGCTGGGCTGGGCTGGGCTGGGCTGGGCTGGGCTGGGCTGGGGGGGTTGGCGGGCGCGGGTGATGAGCCAAAACGTAGGAGCTCTTAAAAAGGCACAGCCGTGTTTAAACAGTCGGCCCAGCGAGGATCCTGCAAGCCTGTCGCGTTTCCCCGTGGCCTCAAGAAGCTGACCTTCGGCGACAAGTTCGACGGGAGCTTGCAGGGCATGGAGCTTCCCGTGGGCCTCTCGCACTTGACCTTCGGTGACGCCTTCAATCAGAGCCATGGCTCAGACACTCCCCAACCGCTTTTATTTGGGTGCTCGTCTTTTGGAGGGCTTTTAAAGGGAAACTAAAAGGAAACTGGCCAGGGGTCCCCTGTTTTGACACAGCCAATTGGAAGTGTTGGACAGTTCAATACTTTATACCTGCGAACCAAAAAGAAAAAGCATATATTGGTGGCCTGGCAACCCTGCTTTCAGGGCTCAGCCACTTCAACCGTGCTGTGCTGGTAAGGGGGCGGCCCCGGCTGGATCATTGGAAGCAATGGGATGTTTTGTGGATTTCTCGGATCGGGTTGTCATTGAACCTGCAAAACGACTATGTGTTAATTGGTAAGGGGGCCACCCCGGATAGATCTTTGGAAACAATGGGATGTTTGGGGGAGTTCCCGGGTCGTCATGGAACCCGCAAAAGGACAAGTTATATGGGTCTTGTTTTGAATGTGGAGTCTCAAAAGTGGTTGGTGCACATGACTCTCCACCAAAATAAAATACTCTATTGGTCCCCCTATGGTCATATTACCCCCTCTCGCCTGTGGAGTGGTTGGATAATGGTTGGTTAAGGGTGGTGAAGGGTAAGTTTGTGGATGTAGGAAGCTACGGGAGACACACAACTTCTGGGTGAGTGTCCACCAAGGCGTCCCCTCTTGAAACTCAGAGGGGGGTCTGCTCAGGAGCCTGGAAGGAGTGATGCTGCCACGCCTGCAGAGCTTGACTTTTGGATCCAGCTTCAATCAGCCCTTGCAACATGGCGTGGTTTTCCCCGAGCCGAAAGCTGTAGGGAAGGTGATTTGCGAGATTGACGACAGGGCGCGATCGGCGGCATGCAATTGGGGGTGCTGTTTGAGGCGCTGATGATGTCGCGCCGGGTATGGGGAGCATGCAGTTCAGGGTGCTGGTGCAGGTGGTGTTTGAGGTGCGGGTGACGGTGTGGGGGTGCTCTATGCTGGTGTTGGTGTTTGCGGATTCGGATATCTTCATGGGGCCTAGGAGGGGGGGGGTTATTTGGGCTCCGTCTCCTCCCGCAGGCCCCATGAATGTATGAATTGCACTGCCTTTTGGAAACTCTCAGTTTCCGCTCGAAGCTCCAAAATGCAGGTTGGAAGTTTGGGTCGTTCACTTGCCGAAGGGAACTGCGCCAACCCGCCCATGGAGATGCTTTGAAACCTTTGGGTACGATCGCCTGGACTCCCAAAGGGGTTTTGGCTGGGAGAGCTGACCAACCCAGGCAAGGAGTGAGGTTTCCGGAGACCCTGCAGAGCCTGACCTTCGGCCTCAGCTATGACCAGGCCATGGAAGGTGTCACTCTGCCGCCAAGCCTTCAGAGCCTCACGTTCGGCTTTCGTTTCAACCGCAGCATCCAGAACTTTCGGGTGCCTATGAACCTTGGCTCCCAACCATACCCGACTTTTTGGACTTGGAATTCAGAGAATGTGTGCCCTATCCCACTATGCATTTATGGTTTGGCTGTGGATCCATGAGCCACCCAGGCACCTGAAGAGTCTTACCTTCGGCTGGAGCTTTGACGAAAGCTTGGGCACTCTCCCAGAGAGTCTGCAGAGACTGCACCTCGGTGGAGGCTATCGACAGCGCACGGAGATTCTGACGCTCCCAGCCGGGCTGAAGAGTTTGACGCTCGACCGGCCATTTGATCAGCAGCTTGGTGACTTACTTCGCAGCAAGCTGACCAGCTTGGTGAGGTTGGCATTCAAGGATTTGGCTGTCAGTTGTACAGAATAGATCTGGAGTTTGACCAATGATTGCGTCAAATACGAATACGGACCCGCAACGAAATATTTGGCCATGGACGTCTCAAAGAGGCTCGCTTAGGAACCTTCTCTGTTGAATCTGGAAAGTGCGAGAGGATCTGGTTCGCTTCGTCATGGTATTCCAACAGTCCTGATTGTGGAAACCCGGACGGGCCACCCCGTCCATGTTCAAACAGCCCAGCCGCAGGATTCTGAGGTAAGAAGCGCCACGTGTTGAGTAGTATAGGCTAGCTAACTAGATGCGTTTTAGTGCTCTTATGATGGGACCATTTGGTATTGAAATCATTTCCTCCATACCCCATTATCCCCATTCATTTTCCAAGGCCATGATTATGTCTCTAAATCAACGTAAATCCTGGCAGCTCTGTCAAAATCCAAGATCTGAGCTTTCCGCAGCCAACTCCACAGTCACTGTGTGAGTCCCATGGGCTTTGCTCTGAGCACAGTCAAGGTTCACTGCGTTTCACTGTCTTCTGGATATTTTCAGCATGCACATTGGGCACACTCACAAGGCTACAGTAAGAAAGCATGAACCATGACTGGCTGATGTACAGTTGATGCTCTTCATCCTGCTTGCTTTGCATGGCCAAAGCAAGTCTTTCGCTGCCTACGTCAGCCGCAGAACTGTGCAGAGACTGCGGATATTGCTGCGGATTGCGAAATCGTTGCGCGCGAAGGTTCGAAGTATCGCAATAGGAATGTCCCCGTTGCTTCCAGGTAAGCCCAAGGGAGTGTGTTGGAACAAACCCATGTCGGATCTGTTTGTTTTTGCGTCTGGCTTCCAGCTGAGTAGAGCACCAGCATTTACAACCGACATTCATCTTCTGCGCGTTTGCGCACCTGCGTGTGTGTGTGTGTGAGTGAGTGAGTGAGTGAGTGAGTGAGTGAGTGAGTGAGTGAGTGAGTGAGTGAGTGTGTGTGTGTGTGCGCGCCATTTGCTTCCATTTATCTGTGCTGCGTAGGTCGCATGTGTCATTTGATGTATTACTGCTTGTTTCGCACGTTGCAACAATGAAGAGATTCACATTTGAGCCGCTTCTTGTTGGCAGTGCCTTTTTCTTGCTGGTCGCACCACTTGACCCACGCAGAGGTCCTCATACTTGGCTATGTCAATCAGGCTCTGGGTCTCTAAACTCAGGTAAACCTTAATTGGTGGTTTGGATTGGTGGTTTGGATTGGTGGTTTGGATTGGTGGTTTGGGATGTGAACCCCTGGTTCTTGGAGAGGGTAAATCCAAGTGAGCCCCAGGCGGAGGCCATTGGATCGCATAGCCACGTCCTTTTTGTTGGAGTGTGTGTGTGTATGTGGGTGGTGTGTGTGTGTGTGTGTGTGTGCGCGTGCGACGGCTTTCCTGCTAGGCAAAAAAAAAGGTAGCGGGACTGATGGTTTGTTTATCCTTCATAGACAGACTTATGTTGCTGTTACAAGCACGCCGGACATGGTTCCTGACTTGAGCCACGGTCAATGCACAACGTCCTTTATTGCAGTAAATGGAACGACATGGGCACATGTAAGAGAGAGAGAGAGAGGGAGAGCGACGGCCTAAGGGAGATAACAGGGCAACTCAGGGCAGAGCTAATTATTTGCGGTTCTGACTACATGTTGACCCATTTTCTCCAAGTCGACCACAACTGCCAGGCCTGCGCTGACTTCGACACGCCTTCGGCTGGAAAAGTGATGGATCTGGGCCATGGGTCAAGGGGACGAGTCTAAACCAACTAGTTAGACCCTGCAGTGGTTGGCTTTATGCTGCGGGTTCCACTCAGAACCAATCCTCTAGTTTGGCCTTAGCGCTTGGTGAATCAAAAAATGGTTTCAAAATTTAGCACCAGGGCAGTTGGTGGCCGTTGCCACCAAGGCCGCGTGTCAGGAGTGGATTGTCGAACCGTCGAGCGGAATTTTCCGACGCCAAGGGAAGCCTCCCGCGCCGATCTTGTGGGAGAGTATGTTGGCGCCACGGCCATGAAGGCGGGGTGGGAGAGAGCTAGAGCTTGGCGCTGGGTTTTTGTTTCTTTATTTCTTGTTTTTTGTGTTCCTTCTTGTTTTTTGTTTTTTGGTTTTCCTTTTTGTTTTGTGTGTTTGTTCTGTTTTTTCTTTTTTCTTGTCTGTTTTTGTGTCTTTCCTTTTTTCCCGAAAGCATGGCGAAGGTTCTTCCGCTGGGTTCACTTGAATTGTTCTCATGAGAGTCAATGCAAGGAGTCATTGCAAGGAGTCATTGCAAGGAGTCATTGCAAGGAGTCATTGCAAGGAGTCATTGCAAGGAGTCATTGCAAGGAGTCATGGCAAGGATTGCAACTTGCACTTGACTCCTTGCACTTGCAACTTGCACTTGACTCCTTGCACTTGCAACTTGCACTTGACTCCATGCACTTGCAACTTGCACTTGACTCCATGCACTTGGCTCCTTGCACTTGGCTCCTTGCACTTGGCTCCTTGCACTTGGCTCCTTGCACTTGCAACTTGCACTTAACTCCGTGCACTTGCGACTTGCACTTGACTCCATGCACTTGGCTCCTTGCAACTTGCAATGGCTCTCATGACTCCTTGCAATGACTTGCAATGACTCCTTGCAATGACTCCTTGCAATGACTCCTTGCAATGACTCCTTGCAATGACTCCTTGCAATGACTCCTTGCCATGACTCCTTGCAATGACTCCTTGCAATGACTCCTTGCAATGACTCCTTGCTGCTTGCAATGCAACTCCTTGAAACAAGCAAGGAGTCAAGTGCAAGTTGCAAGTGCAAGGAGTCAAGTGCAATTGACTTGCGAGGAGTTAAAATCTCTTCTTAGGGCGGCGGGGTAGTGCCGACGACACTACACGAAAATCGACCCTCTGCGGGGATCGGCGTGGTCGAGGTGCAAAAACCCATGGTTTTTTGCGATTTCTAACCTGCTCGCGCGACCCTCTGCGGGGATCGGCGTGGTCGAGGTGCAAAAACCCATGGTTTTTTGCGATTTCTAACCTGCTCGCGCGACCCTCTGCGGGGATCGGCGTGGTCGAGGTGCAAAAACCCATGGTTTTTTGCGATTTCTTGCTCGCGCGACCCTCTGCGGGGATCGGCGTGGTCGAGGTGCAAAAACCCATGCGACTGCGGGGATCGGCGTGGTCGAGGTGACCGATTTGCTCGCGCGACCCTCTGCGGGGATCGGCGTGGTCGAGGTGGGATTTCTAACCTGCTCGCGCGACCCTCTGCGGGGATCGGCGTGGTCGAGGTGCAAAAACCCATGGTTTTTTGCGATTTCTGCGGTGCTCGCGCAACCCTCTGCGGGAATCGGCGTGGTCGAGGTGCAAAAACTCAAGGTTTTTTGCGACTTTTGTTGTTCGAACTGGTCCTCGGGAGTTGTCTCGTGGTTCGCGCGCCTGCTCCCGGAACCGGCGGGTCGCGGGTTCGATTCCTCCCTGGTCCGCGGGCGGGCGTCGCAAGATGCAACTTGCATTTTACAGCAACTTGCGCAGAGCAACTTGCGCAGAGCAAGTTGCACAGAGCAACTTGCGCAGACCAACTTGCACCGACCAGTTTGCGCAGAGCGCCTTGCCTAGAGCAACTTGCGCAGAGCAACTTACGCAGAGCAACTTGCACAGAGCAACTTGCACAGAGCAGCTTGCACAGAGCAACTTGCAGGGAGCGCAATTTGCACAGAGCAACTTGCAGGGACCAACTTGCCGGAGCAACTTGCGCGGAGCAACTTGCGCAGAGCAACTTGCACAGTGCAACTTGCGTAGAGCAACTTGCGCAGACCAACTTGCACCGACCAGTTTGCGCAGAGCACCTTGCCTGGTGCTGTCTCGCGCTTGCTTCACGAAGTGTAGGGAAAAAGAACGCATCCTGCAGCGTTGGGCCGACCTCGCTTGCGATGTTCTGCTTTCGGGCCAACCGTGGTCTAGTTTGTTTTTCTTTTTCCCGAAAGCATGGCGAAGGGTTCTTCCGCTGGGTTCACTTGAGTTGTTCTCATGAGAGTCATTACAAGGTGTCATTGCAAGGAATCATCATCATGAAAGTCATTGCAAGGAGTCATTGCAAGGAGTCATTGCAAGGAGTCATTGCAAGGAGTCATTGCAAGGAGTCATTGCAAGGAGTCATTGCAAGGAGTCATTGCAAGGAGTCATGGCAAGGATTGCAACTTGCACTTGACTCCTTGCACTTGCAACTTGCACTTGACTCCTTGCACTTGCAACTTGACTCCATGCACTTGCAACTTGCACTTGACTCCATGCACTTGGCTCCTTGCACTTGGCTCCTTGCACTTGGCTCCTTGCACTTGGCTCCTTGCACTTGCAACTTGCACTTAACTCCGTGCACTTGCGACTTGCACTTGACTCCATGCACTTGGCTCCTTGCAACTTGCAATGGCTCTCATGACTCCTTGCAATGACTCCTTGCAATGACTCCTTGCAATGACTCCTTGCAATGACTCCTTGCAATGACTCCTTGCAATGACTCCTTGCAATGACTCCTTGCCATGACTCCTTGCAATGACTCCTTTGCAATGACTCCTTGCAATGACTGCTTGCAATGACTCCTTGAAACAAGCAAGGAGTCAAGTGCAAGTTGCAAGTGCAAGGAGTCAAGTGCAATTGACTTGCGAGGAGTTAAAATCTCTTCTTAGGGCGGCGGGGTAGTGCCGACGACACTACACGAAAATCGACCCTCTGCGGGGATCGGCGTGGTCGAGGTGCAAAAACCCATGGTTTTTTGCGATTTCTAACCTGCTCGCGCGACCCTCTGCGGGGATCGGCGTGGTCGAGGTGCAAAAACCCATGGTTTTTTGCGATTTCTAACCTGCTCGCGCGACCCTCTGCGGGGATCGGCGTGGTCGAGGTGCAAAAACCCATGGTTTTTTGCGATTTCTAACCTGCTCGCGCGACCCTCTGCGGTGCTCGCGCAACCCTCTGCGGGAATCGGCGTGGTCGAGGTGCAAAAACTCAAGGTTTTTTGCGACTTTTGTTGTTCGAACTGGTCCTCGGGAG